CCCGGGCGCCGGGCAGAGGAGATTTGGCTGAGAGAAAAGAGCAAATGGCCAGGTTCCCCCGGCAACTAGCCAGTCCTGGTTACTTAAATGCTCACGAGAGCTGCTGGCAGCTGTTGCAAGACAAACTTGCGCCAGGCACTGGGATGTACCTCGTTTACAGCCACTTTTGCCCGAACCCTGGACTTGTCCTGAGCGCTGCTCAGCTGGTGCAGAAATTCTAGTGCTAGATATATATTTACAGCACCACTGTAATGCAGCCAAGTCTGTGGAGAGAGCAGTAGCCAGTCAGCACAGCCAGCAGTGTGTCCTTGCAATGAAGAAGAGAACTTGGAAAAACAGACTTCCCATTACTGTATCCATGGCAACAGAAAAGCCTCTAAAGCACCCAGCGGCTAAAAGGCACCAGTGGGTTGACTTAGCAGAGCATCAGAGGTGGATTTTGCAACTTTGGGGACTACACAAATGCAGTAGCTGGAGAGAGTTCCCAGCTAGATAAGGGCTTGTCTACACCTGAAGGTTAATCTGGAATAAGTTAGGGTGTGAATTGAAAGCTGGTTATTCCTGATTAACTCCAAACTGCACTTCTTTTCCAAAAGGGCTGCTTCATAGGGTGGGGTGCACCAAGGCACCAGGGCTTCTGGCAGTTGACAACTCATGCCTGGTACACCCCCTCACAAGTGCCTTATTCCAAATTAGCTTAATCCATGTTCTGGAATAAGAGCATCCACACATGGAGTTAATCAGGAATAGCTATTCCCAAATAACTCCCAGTGTAGACAAGCTCTAAGCACCTGTCACATACAAACCGGTCACAGCTACACTGTGGCACTGGGTTTTAATACAGCAGTGTTGCCTCTAGGGAGTGAGAAGAAATGTGAAGCAGAGCAAATAAGCACCACCCGAGAACCAAAAACATTCAAGAGAGCACACTGGCCATCGAGTGCTTGAATGGGGCCTCTTGAGACACTGCGTTCAGACACGGAGCCAAGAGATACAGGGCCAAAGTCAGAGATGATGAAAAATGGTGATGCGAGTTCTGCGCCGGTAAGTGGGGGTCAGGGCCGCCCGGGGGGGCAAGTGGGGCAATTTGCCTCAGACCCTGGGTCCCGCGAGCCCTGACCCAGCGGCGGTCCGGGTCTTCGGCGGCATTTTGGCGGCGGGGGGCCTTTCAGTGCTGCCAAAGACA